AATGTACAGATACAAGTACTAAGATCTTTAATAGTTGTTTTTCTGATTAACTGAAGTTATCCCTTTAAAAAGAGCTGCATAATATGGTAGGGTAGTACACAATCATGTCAGCAACACGATAATGCCTGGAGTGGTCATCACAAAGGGAGAAAATAATAGTACGAAAGGGCAAAGAATCATAGAATGGCCTGTGTTGAAAAGTACCACAATGATCATCTAGTTTCAACCCCCTGCTAGGTGCAGGGTTGCCAACCACCAGACCAGGCTGCCCAGAGCCACATCCAACGAGGCCTTGAATACCTCCAGGGATGGGGCATCCACAACCTCCTTAGGAAACCTGTTCCAGTGGAAGAAGAAGAGCTCTGGGGGAAAGCAAATATAGTGTGTGCTGGAACAGAAATGGAATTAGGAGGGAGAGAGACAATGCATTGCAGTTTGCTTTTTCTATTACCCCAGGTGTGGTACTGCAGTGTATTTGGTGCTTAACTAGTAGCTTCAGATTTACTTTAATTAAAAAAGTAATACAACCAAACTTTTGCTTTAAATATATTCATTTATTCTGGTACAATAAAGATTTCTAACAGTAAAACACGTTAGTGCTTCTTCACATTTTACTTCCACATGGAACTCTAAAACCACTTTCATAAATGATGTCTATATGGCATATAAGTTACACAGTTAACAGTAAGGGACTTCAAGAAATAGACGTCACCACTGGAGCTGGTCATGAGTGGCAGGTGATGACATGAAGATTTATAAGGTTTGACTTTGAATTTGGCAATTTTTAGTACTTTCGTGAACTTTTCTTAGCATAGCCCAGTTTTGAAGTTTTTGTATATTTCTAGAGCAAGTGACAGAGTTTATTGTATTAAATAGTTTAAATAAGTAGTTGCTGAGCAAAAATAACTTAGACAAAATTAAAAAGCAATTTACTTGGACAGAAGTCTTTGAAATACTTTATGTGCTAGCTATCAGATCTGCTTTTGCTTTATTTTTCTGGAAAATGATGGTATTCTTCAGATTGCCAAGTTTTACTAGTAAATGTACTGCCAAATCTTGGGAAAAATAAGTCAAGGACTCTTAAAATTACATAGTGTTGAGTGAAAAGCCAAAGAGAAGGTTTTTTGTATACCAGAAATCCTTATTCTTTCAAATATAAAAATATATATCTGATGCTGTGGAGTGACCTGTATTTAATTTCCTTTCAGGTTGTTTAAAATGCTACAGACATAAAAGAAGGAGTAACAAAAGTGGCAGACATTTCTCCTAGTGTACAGGCACGCTCTATTTAAAATATTCATTGCTTTATTATTTTGGGTAGAAGTGATTTCACTGTACCATTTGCAGGGAAAATATTTCTAATACTGGCATATTCATCTTGGCTTTAAACACAGTAGTACATTTTGTATTTTGCTTCTTGTCTTCCACAAGATGAGGAGTTGACTTAACAACTTTTTGGTATTACACCATCTGGAGGTTTGTAATTGACATATGTAATGATGTCATACATGCTTAGCACCGAACAGATAGTGTATAGTGGAAGGTTGTGTGCAGTTCAGTCTGAGGTAGTTTTATTTTGTGTCATGAGAAATGTAAAAGTCTTGGTTTGTGTTTACTGAAGACAGAAGGAAGAATTTAGGGAAGGAAAGAATGACTGACATAACCAATGTTCTTATAAATCTTAACATTGCATTCCTGTGTATAGAAAATAAATCTGTACACCTAAGACCACACACAGGATGAGCTGTCTGTTCACTGTTCCAGGCTGGCACTGGCTCAGCCTTTTGCCTCTTTGAAAACTGGCACAAAGCTCTGATTTTAGAATGGCTCTTTATTGTATGTGTTAGTTTGGGAGATGATAAACCTGTTCTGTCAAAATATCTAAGACTTTGTTGTGTAGGTGGTCTTTTTGAGTTAGTTTTGTTGTATCAGTTTCAAGATATCTGACCCACTGTTTTTTTTGAGGATGTAAGAAAGTACAGGTATAGTTAGGAGATTTTTTTCCTCCCAACATTAGTGTCAGGGCACAATCTAATTTGATTCCCTCAAAAAGTATTATCTGAGAAAGCAGGCTGGAGATTGTACCTGCAAGGAGAAAAGGATGACACATTAAAAGCTATGCTGTGAGCTGAAGTCTCCTTTTCTAATCCTACAGGTCGTAATTTCAGCTCTTGCATGGACTTGGCTTTGATATGTATATAGTTTTGCCCAGGACAGGTTAAAAATATTATTGCACAGAGGAGAAAAGAAGGAACATCAAATAAGAAACAGTCTTAAAAAAAAAAAAAAAAAAAAAAAAAGAAGGAAGTAGGAAAATATATGATTGCAAAAGATTAATTTGAATCACTGTGATCTGGATTGAAACCCGGGAAATGCTTTGGCAGCAACCCAGGCCAGTAGCTTCATATCAGAGAAAGGTTTCTGTTTCACCAGAAGGGTGGAAATTCTTTAGGAAGGAATTTGCTCCTAATTCTTCGTAACTCAAACTTTCAAACTTCAGCTGGAACAGATCAATCAGTGGTTGACCTACGGTTCGTTTGGAAAGGGCTGTAGCAGATGACAGTGCATTTGCTGTGGCACAGGAGTGACATCACGGGTTGTTATGGAAGTGTCAGAGTCCCTAAGAGTGTGTGGTGTAAGACCATGATTTGTCTCTGTGGGTCAGAATGAGGAAGGTCTCTGTCTGGAGCGGAGCACCTTCTTTCCTCCCTCAGGGCTGAATGTGCATGTGTTTGCTAGGGAATAGAAATAACAGCCTTGTTATAAGCTGGTGAAAGAAAATTTCCTTGGAAATTTGGGACAAATACATTTGTGAAGAGTGAGAACCATCTACAGAGCCTTTAGGACAGGGGAATGGCTTTTGAATTAGAAAGTGCTGCTCAGCCGAGTCTGGGTGCAAGCTACTGTTATCCCAGTCCCCAGGGAGCAGTATCAGTGCTTCGTTTACCTGTGGTTCTAATCACTTCCAACTCCCTTTAAAGTCAAGTACAAAGCCTCTACTTTAGTGGCAGCTGGCAAACGAGACTTGCAATGCCTGAATGAAGAAAACCCCTACTGGAGCTCCTGCTGCAGGTTATGATGAGCTTCTCAGCTGCAGCTTAAAGGCACAGCAGAGATTTTTGTGATTTGACATAAGGGACTGCTTAACGACATGCACCAAATAAGTGATTAAGTATAAAAATGAATAAATGTGGTAATGAGTTTCAGATGAGGTCTTCCGCGTTTATTAAAAGGGATCTGAAAGTTAGCTGCTACTACTCTTTCTTTAAAGTTAAAAAGTCACATTTGAATTTAATATTGCCCACTGCTTACAAACTGCAAGACACTACTGCTACAATATTATAAAAAAAATGTTAAAAATATACTAAATCCAGAAGAACATAAATCTTTCTTTTCGAGTGTATAGAGAAGCAATGAGCCATTTTAAGAGCAGGAAGAACATGCATTTTGAGATCCAATAGATCATTTAAATTAGTCCCAAGCCAAGTTTTAAAATGGCATTGCAAAGACTTCTGGTCACAATAACTTTAGAATTACAAAACTAAGAATATAAATAAAAATAAATCAGACTTGTGTTGATTATTTTGTACTCTAATAATGTTCTGATGAACCAGAAAAAAAGGATGCTTAATGTGTACGACCCTTAGTGACTATTCCAACTGTACAGCCTGAAAATGCAAAACTAATGTTAAAGTTCTTTCAGTTATTTCCATTTGCTATGAATAAACTTTGTGAATTTGTAGGTAATGTAAACTTTAAACCCTAATTCTTTATTTTCTGACATCTGTATGTTTGAAATTTGGATTAGTGAATCTAAAATTTCGCACTCGCCTGACTTCCTGCAGCTCCCTACTAGATGGAGAATTATTCTAAACTGCCACATCATATATTTTCAGTTCAAACCTTGTCTTCTCAATGGTGTGCCTAGCAGCCAAAACAAGCCTGTATGGATCCACTTAATGTGAACACCTCCTAGTTTCAGAGCTGTAGGGGAAAACAGTATCAGAAAAACAGCCTCTTTCCAAGGAGACCTGTCTTAGCAGTAACAAATGATTACAGTGTTTTTATCTGACTTCTCTACTTTGCATGAAATGATAAGGCTGTGCGAAAAGCTTGTGAACCTTGCAAATGTACTCCATTCCCATGTTGCCTCTCTGTGCTTTCTGTGCAGCATAGTGGCTTTGTCTCTAGACGGAACAGAAGCGCAAATGTAGAAGCAAGTCTGTAATAGTATTTTTAGTATCTACTCTCCTTGTCTGGAAGATTCAGCGTGTTAACTAGCCTTCTGGAAAACTGAAATCCTTCACTAAGAATAAGCTCTCTGATTCTGGTAATGCTGACGAGTTTGGGAGTTAGAGGCTGCATAAGGAATGCAAAGTGGAATCCAGAGCACTTAACACCATGAAGGCCTTTTATTAAGTTACTTCTGTTTAGAAAAATCTTTGAAATACCCCTTGTTTTATCTGACAGGGAATTGTGCTTACTATAGAAAAGTACAGGAAGGCCCATTTGTTAAGAGACTTACGAGATGTACATTGGAGAAAAGCTGAGAGCTGTATGATTTCCCTGTATGTTGTGTTAAATAGTTCTGCTTCTAGATTATGGATCTATGCTCAATTTTGGATAGTGGCTGTAATATCAAATTGCCTGCTTCATGGCTTTAACGGGCAAGTACAGGATACAGAGTGCTGTTTTCAATTAATTATTTAATAAGTTGAGATGATTTTTTTTGAATCTTTGTTTGTGAGTTTTAGTCTTAGAGTTTCAAATTTTCTGCTTTTTTTTTTTTCTATTCATCCTTTGTTGCTGAAACTCCATTCTCCTAAAATTGCATTTTAGCGAGTCCTATGTGTTGAATTTCTTTGGTCCAAGGTAAAGTTAGAAAGTCTACACTAAAAAAAAAGAAATGTTTCCTAGGTGATACAAAAAGCAAATAAAAAAAGAAAAATATAGTTCTCATCCTTACCAACAACCAAATATATTTGATTTACTTATTGTAGGTTGATGCCTTGCGGTTGCGATTGGAAGAAAAAGAAACATTTCTCAATAAAAAAACAAAACAACTTCAAGACCTCACAGAAGAGAAAGGAACCCTGGCTGGAGAGATTCGGGATATGAAAGACATGTTGGAAGTAAAAGAAAGGAAAATCAATGTCCTTCAAAAAAAGGTAAGATCACTGATGAAATGGTATGTTATGAAACTCATGAGGCACCTATAATGGAAATACACTTCTTGAGCCATTTTACTTTTAAATTATTACAAAAATTGCAAAGAGTAAGTTGGTAGTAGTCAAGTAGCTCTGTAACATGTGTTATCTTCCATGAGTCTGTTCCTGTGGTATTATATTTTATTTGTATTACAAATTTTTATGTGATGCACTTTAGAAAAATTCTAGCAGTTAAATGAAGACCTAAAAATCCTGTCAAATCTTACTCCTTGCCATCAGGGTTTCTTTTATACATACTAACATTGAATACTAGTCTTTCCAAGTAATGCAAACAAAATGAAATACGTGAAACTTCTAAAAGATTAGTACACTTCTTTTTTTTCTGTGAATACACTTTGATAGAGACAGCAAAGGAAGTGGGGAAAGAACCCAAATTATGTCCATTATCTGCTTTTCCTATGCAGGACGGGCTACAGATATTCAGAATGCAGGATCACTTCAAACAGCCTTATTATTCTTACTGCTAATTTTCCACAGACTTAGCTCCATTGCATGTTGGATTTAATTGTTACAGTTTCCACTTTGTGGTGGAGATGTGAGGTTGAACTTTCTTGGGAATGTAGCTCTGGATTCTGCATACAGTTGTGGAGTGCTTACTTACCGTATCCTTTCTCTGACACGCACAAAATGATTTATGTTACAGAGTGTGTACTGTGTGTGTTTGCATCACTGCAGTGTATACAGATGCACTTGAGAGCATAAATGAAGAAAATGTTTGTGGGATCAAATACATTTTTCTCTCCTCCATTTACAGCCAATTAAAGAATGTCTAGTCCATATTGTCAGTTATTCTTTGGATAGCTCTTGCCAGAGAGTAACCTAAACTTTTCTTTACTAGTAATGATGCTGATAGACACATTCTACAATACTACAGTGATTTTCCTCTGGATTTCATATATAATTCATGTTGCTTATGTGTGCTTCTCTTCTGTCTGCATTTGACATTGTATTTTGATGAAATACAATGATAAACGAAATGGATGAGTAGGAGGGATGTGGATTCAATGGTCAAAATTGTCATTGTGCCGGGATTCTCAAATAGTCTAAGTAGTGTACGTTATCATCTAAGAAAGAAGTTTGGAACAGGCTACCCAGGAATGTGGTGGAGTCACTGCTCCTGGTGATTTTAAAGAAAAAGGATAAATGTGACATTTAGAGATATGGTTTGATGGGCCTGGTGGTTATGGGTTGATGGTTGGACCTTAGTTGTCTTTTCCAACATTAATGATTCTGAGTTCTCAGATGTACCTCTTTTCTTCCCAGTTTTGACAATGTATCTTTCCAATAGCAACCATATCTGAGAATATATTTTGTTAAAAAAATATTGTTATATATTGATTACTGTTATTTCATTCTTTACATAAGTCTATTATGTTTCCATCTTCTACTTCTTCCTGGATTACTTGTTCCTCTTCAATTTCTCCAATTATTGCTCATTTTCTGATCTAGACACTTCTTCCATTATTGTTTTCACTTCAAATGATGATGGCCATACATTTGGTTGTTGAATACTTAGAAATTAATCCGCCTTCATAAAGCACGTGTCCGTGTGCTGAAGTCAGTGCAGGTACTGTGCTCCTCCTCAGATTACATGCAAGCTGAAACAGTTAGGCCCTCTAGTGGATTGTCCGTCCTTTGCATTCCAGTAGGACGTTGCACCATTTATTACTCTCATAAAACCACTTTTGAAAATGAATTTCTTGTGGTTTTTCAGTCCCCCCCCAATCATTATATTATGTAGGCAATATATATAATTTTTTTTTTCTGGGACAGATTTTCTCTATGTAATTTAGCTTTGACATGAGTACAGGTGAATAACCTACTATTTTGTTGCCTTTGTTGATGCAGTATAGATAGCTACATTTTTCCTTGCTCTGTTCAAGTGTTACATTCAGCCTAAAAACAGTATTTATTTTACAGGTTGTATTTCTGTAATTGAAGAAGGAATAATGTGTATACGGTAGTTAAAATTTCAGTTAGTAATAACCTGAAATGACTGGGAAGGAATATGTAGAAGTTTCTGATTCTATATTCTTTCTCTTGTATACATTAGGTTACTACTATCTACTATGTTGCAAAATACAAAGGACTCCAAAGCAAAACCAGGAAAGCTCATTTTCAAATATAGAATTTTATTCTTTTTAGATAACTGTTTTACTTAGACAATAAGATGCCTTCTCATGAAGGCTCCCTACTAAAAAATGTGAAGGAAACAAAAATATAGGGAACAAACCAGAACAAAGAGGATGGCATAGGAACATACAGAAGGCATTTTTTTTGCACAAAAGTTTAATGAGAGAATGAGCTAATGATGCGTTGTCCTTCTATTTGTTGATTTTGGTGTATTTTTAAAGCAAATTTAAAAAATATCATGCTATTTAGTATAATTTGTAGGCCTAAAGGAGTCCAAATTCTGGAACTGCAAGCATTCAGAGGATTTGGATCAAGGTAGATTGGTATGGAGTAATAATAAACTTATGTCAATGTCAGGGGTGCAATATTACTTAATATTTCTTTCTTTTAGAATCTTTGGCACCACTGTTTCATTTTAGTGCCAGTAAAGTTGGGTATGTTGTTTTAATAGCCCTGTTTAACCTGGCAAAGCTAGTCTTACACCTCATATCTGTCAGTTTAGCATGCTGAGGGGCAGACCTCAGAATTCTTTATATATTTCTTACCAGAATGTGCAAAGTTCTATGAATATGTCTGAGGTGTAGGTTGAGGGGCAGAAGTGCTGAACTGGATGACAATTGTTTTAATATCCATTTTTTCCCCAAATTTTCTCTTTCATATAGTGACTATAACTGGTGTGTTTTGTACTCTAGGAATTTGTAGATATTTGTGTATGCACACGCATGTGCACAGACACACACTGAAGTTTTTGAGTCTGTGTTGAGAACAGTAGCTGTGAGACAAGAACAGAATGGAGAATGTAGAGCTGGATCATATTAGGACAACAGCTTGTGGAAATTCTTTTGTGGGAATTGTTGTAAAAGAAAGTCATGTAAAGGAGGCTAATATATTCTACTTTGACTTGCAATACAACTTTTCATGTAAAATGTTAGTTTCCATCTTTAATAGTTTAAGCTCTGTGATTGATGAAGTGCTACATGACTGAGGGCCCTAACCTACCAGCTAATTAGCATTTGTAGGAAATGTCATAAAGTCTTAGCTCTAATGTAATAATTGGAATCTGTACTTGGAATGGCTGGACTGTGCACACTATGTGATATTGTCCAGTTTGTGTTAAACTGTGTTGTATGTCTTGCTTTGTATGTATTACTCTTAGCTGTCTTCTAAAGGATAATAAATTTGCATCATGTTAGATTAGGAATATAGTAGCGAAATCAAATGAGTCTTGTGTTTAGAAATTTGCATTGGTGTTATGGTCTTATCACTTGGCATGGGAATTCTAGCTGTGAACACAACAGAAACTGAATCTTCTGCAGGCAGGGTGGTTCAGGAGAGAGAAGAAATTCTTACATTTGCTCTCAACACATAAAAAGCACGTTGCTTACTGAAGCAGCTTTTAATTTTTTTCATAGTTTAATCAGTTAATCCCAGGTTGTTATTGATATGTTCTAATGAAAATAGATCTCTGGTGATTCTAGACTACCACTTAGCCTTGAATCCTTAAAAGTTGTATATGCTACAAATTGAAGATAGATGGATAAATACAAAATGACCTCAAACGGAAGCAGCGTATCTTTGGATGCACCTGGCCTGTACACTGAGACGCAGAACACTGTGAAGATCAGAAGCAGTTATCCTTTTCCCTTTTTTTTTTTTTAATACTTTTATTTCTTTTTGTTTTTGTTTTTGTAACCAGTGCAAAACTTACAAGTTTAAAAGTTCACTACTAAAATCTGACCTAATATAAGTTCACTCAGTAAAGATGAACCTTAATGTTCATCCAGACTAAAATCATAGCTATAACAAGTTCAAGTAAGTCCTTGGACATTGAAATCCATGATCTTTAAAAAGTTTCCAGTCTTTACCATCTTTTCAAATGAATTTATTATTTACTGCTAAAGCTAGAAGCCCGGCAAGTTGTTTTTTTTTCTCTCGATGACCTGCTTGAAACTGCTGCTTTAGTTCAAATCTTCACTTCAAAAGGAGAACAGCTGGATTGAACCCCTTTGACTAGTGAGCTATTCAAAGGCAATCACTATCTTTCCATGAGAAAATCACTGAATTCCTTGAAGTTTCATGAAATTACTAAAATCTAAAAACTGTTTTACCTAATGTGAGTTCTGTAAACATGGTGAATTTGGAATATCAGAATCATTTTGCATATTGTAAATCATGGGCCCTCAAGGAAGTGAAGAAATATTGACTTCACCTAGAAGAGATACTGTGTTGTTTACTTACATATGTGCAAGTTTTCAGCACAGTAGTATAATTGCACTGCTACATACATTATTAATTAAAACACTGTATTTACTTATGAAGCGTACATTCATTCATGCATATAAACCGTAGTTATATGAACAAAGGGTGCTGTTTGTATTTTGTATGACAGATCTAAAACATGGTGAAATAGAGTAATGGGAGATCAATAAGTCATTTTTTTGGGAAGTAGTAAATGTGTATGTGTATGCAACATTTTAGAGATGAATAATTAAGCATGAATAACAGGTGGTATTCCAGATCAAGCTATGCTTATCTAGTTTTTAGAGGATTCTTTGTACATTTGTATGAATTATACTGAATAGTTAAAGGCTCAGATTATATGTAACACAAAGAAGTGCTCTTAAAAGCAGTATGGCATTTGCAAAGCAGGACTGCAATCAATGAGATACTTACATAAGGGTTTCATACCGTGTGTAACACCAGTACTACTGATGAGGAAGGAAGCTGCCATTTGGCTTTGAAATGTCAATACTAATTAACAAAGTTATCTTTAAGTAAGATCCGAAGTTTATTCATGCTGAAGGAGC